TCAAGCACCGCCTCCAAGATAAAAAGGTTTTCCTCACATCAAACACACAATATAGCACACATGTGGCATACTACGCCTAAATGTAGTTTGAGAAAGTAGGGGATACGGGATAGGCATGTGGGATATAAAGTTTAATCAAAACGATGTGGTTCATAAGAAAAGTCTCATAACAACAAATAGGTAAATCATGCTTTGATTGAGGAAAAATAATTTTGTACACGTAGCACATATCACATAACATTTAGAACACGTCCTCGAGTCCCACGAGTCACGAAAACCTGCAAAACCCAAGTGACTGGACCCGCAGCAGTATACATTGCCGCAGAGGCCCTTGGTCGTGCAGGCTGAGCGACAGGTCACGGTCCCGTGAGACCCGCCGCGCCACCCGCACGGCCTGGGCGAAGGTGGCAAGCCACAAGGGCCTACCACCTTGCCTTGCCACCGGGCACGTAGGCCAGCCTGCGGGTCTCCCAGGACCCGCGGCAAGGCCCGCACGCCTGCGGGCCTACCACCTTGCCCGAAGCCTCGTCACTCTTGCTCTGTTCCAACCTGAAGCATTTTTTCCCATTTCCAACATGCTACAAGTCCCCAAATCATACCACCACAGCAAAACATCAACAATACAATATCCTCCAACACATTTCACACATTAAACACCAGATTAATAACATTTTCTAAACTCACACATCATCAATATCAATAAATACACATTTATCAAACAAATGAGGGAAAAACAATATATTTTAGATGTCCCTGGGTTATACCTCAAGCTTGATGCTTCTAAAAGCTAGGATCCCACTCTAGACCTCAAGGTTGGTTGTCTTCTCCACTTCTTATGCTCTCATAACCAACAAAATCCAATAAATACACGCAATGTATCATTCACAATCACAAGAAATATTCATTACTGCAACTATTCTAGCTAGGGAGAGAAGAGAAGAGAGATGGAGAGTCTTGGAAATGGAGGGGAAGATGAAGAATCCTTACACTTGGTGTTGCCTCTTGCCTCTTAGCTTTCTCAGGAGAAAGAAACAAAATGAGATGGGATGAAGAGGCAAGCCAATGGAATTGTGGGATTTTATACTTAGGGCACAAAGTCCTAGGCCATGCAATCAGCCACTCGATCTCACGCCAAAATGGGGGTATTTTTGGGAATTTGAGGTTTTGAACTTTGGGTTATAATTTTGGGTCAAAAGTTAGGTTAAATTCAGATTATAAAACAATATCATAATTTTAGAAATAAGATATGTTTATTTTGAAAACCAATTTTGAAAGAAAACTTGGTTCTCAGATTTACAGGTTCCTCTCAGATTGACTTTTGAGTTAACCTTTGGATAAAAGAATATTTTTCTCAAATTGAGTTTTGAAAAACCTAATTACGTAAGTAAAATTTTGTATCAAATTATTCAATTTAAGGATTTTTGGATGAATAATTCAATTATACAAATCAGTAGTCAATTTAAGAACGAAATATTTGAAAAATATTTTGACTAGTTTTTTTATAAAATGGGTTTAATTTGGGAGAAAAATTCTCGGGTTGTTACACTCTTGTGATGGAGTGTTGGGTTTTGGGCTATATTTTTAGGTGATTTAGGAGTGTTTGAGTACAACATGGAGTTGGGAGATTGAGTTTTATTTTAATAAGGATTTTTTAAATCTTAATAATTCAGCTTTGTGTTTGAGTACAACATGGAGTTGGGAGATTGAGTTTTATTTTAATAGAGATTGAGTTTTATTTTAATAAGGATTTTTTAAATCTTAATAATTTAGCCAGTTGAAAGATACTGCCTCTATTACATTGTAGTATCTGTTCATATACTTAATAATTGCTACTGGCTCTATTACATTGTAGTATCTGTTCATATACTTTCTCAACCTACTGAAACACAAAGAACCAATAACGCCTCCACTGAGGCTCGAACTCATAATCTTCCAAACGAAAGTTCAACCCGAGGAAACATTATATTCTATTCTAGTATGACTGTTTTGGGTGAAAAGTTAAAATGGAAGATTTTGTAAAATGGAGGCTTTTGTTTTTATAAATAGTATAGATTATGTAGTATGATAATACTTCACAGTTATCATTCTAAATGAGTAGTCAAAAGATCAAACCTCAAATTAATTAATTTTATCCTCGAATTATTTAAAAATGTGAAAATCACCATATTAGTCCCTAAAATGTTTAATTGATGAAATTTTAAACAATTTAAAGATTAAATTGGTTAAAATTGAAAAGTAAAAATTATATTAATAGTTAGAAAATAATTGATGGACTAAAATATTGATTAACTTATTGCTTAATAAATTTTTGTTTAAAAATTCCAAAGCGTTTTGCACGCATAAGAGGGAGAAAATAGAGAGACCCAATTTTCCAACAAAGACTTACATATTTGCAAGACTCTTCTGTGTCGACTAGTCAAGTCAACAGCGAGATAAGATTACAAAATTACCCATTTTAATTAAGTGGAACAAAGACTTCTATTTTAATCCCCACACGGACACGGACTACTCAATTCAATTTCTTTGTTACTTCTCGGTTGTTTTTGAAAAGGAAAACACCAGTTTTGGCCCTCTGATTATCCGTAATAATAAATTGATGCTATGATATGTTAATTATCAATGTCATCCTTAAATTATGAGTGGTGTAAATGTTGTCCCTCAATTATCAAAATGGTGCACATATAATCCCTCCCGTAACAGACCTGTGGTTTCCCACCGTTGTCCATCGTTGGTACTTCAAATCGATGGAGGGAAAAAAAAAAAATTAAATTACATATTTACTCCTACTTAACGGTGTCGTCACTAACGGGGAACCACATTCTGTTACGGGAGGGGCTATATGTGCACCGTTTTGATAATTGAGGGGCAATATTTACACCACTCATACACTACTGGAAATTATGGAATTTTCGACCACCTAAAAGTGATCTTAAATCAAGTTGATACCAAAAAGTGGTCGGAAATAGCAACAAAGGTTTTTCCGGATGCCAAAAGTGGTCGGAACAAGGCTTTCGACTTGATTTAAGATCACTTTCAGGTGGTCGGAAATTCCATAATTTTCAGTAGTAAAATTCAAGGGTGACATTGATAATTGGCATATTATAGAGGGACATTTTTTACAATTTTCCCTAATAAATTTAATGGTGTGTTTGATTCATACATGAGAATCAAATACTTGGTAATTGTATGGGTTTTGGTGGAAGTATTTTGCATGTTTGGTAGTATGGTGGAATTGAAATGATTACCAATATTGATATTTGGTTTTTGTATGACCCTATAATGGGAATAAAGATTTTAAAAAATACAAAACAAAAAAATAAGGCAATTAATCATAATATAATGACATCCAAAGCCCTAATATGAGTAAAAAAAAAATCAAACCCGCATGGACAGCTCAACTAGTCATAGAGGTGAAAAGTTAAAAAAATGACCAGGGATTGAGTCTCACCAGCGACAGTGTGATAACACAAATTTAAACGTAAAAATCATATTACCAATAAGATGGAATGATACATTTTTAATTAGGAAATAATATCTTTAATTGAAGGGGTAATATCATAATTGTGTTTTAAAAAATTGTCAATCAAATACTAACTATGATTTTGATTCTATTTTTAGCGTATAAACTCATAACCAAACGCAACATAATTCTTTAACTATATGTATTTCCACAATTAAACTTTAACAGGGCGTTTGGTTGGGGAGGGGGAATTACGTGGGAAAGGATTTGCAATTTCATGGGAGATGAATTACTGGGAATAAAGTGGAAATTTAAATTCCAATGTTTGGTTGATAGGAATAGAATTACTGGGAATTTCAATTTCAATGTTTGGTATACATGGGAATTGAAAGGGAATAAGTAGTATAAAGTCCAAAATGTCCATTGTTGTTGTCAAGCATTAATTTTAAGTTAAAAAAGGGAGGGGTAATTTTGACTCATCAGTATCTTTTTTTCTTCATAAAATCCCAGGAATTAAAATACCAGGGGATGAGATTTTAATTCCATGAAAATGGGGGAATTGCAATTTCATGAAATTACAATTCCTTTCAACCAAACAAGGAAATTTTGTGATCTTTGAAATTATGTGGAAATTAAGTAGGAAGAGAATTTAAAATCTCTTCAACCAAACCCCTGTAAGTTGTTATTGTTGTGGTAATATTAGCTCCATTTTCTCTTAAACGTGATTACAAAAGCGATTAGATCAATGTAAAGTTTACCCATGGATGGTCAAAGTAGTTACTCATGAGGTACTCAAAGGTTAGCCCATATTAAGTAGCATGGGAAATTGGAACAAAATCTTACCCATGAGGTACTCAAATCTTCACGTGTGTACATAACTAGGATTACGTTCATCTACCCTTATATTTAAGATTTAAGAATTTCCTTTTGAGGTCTCATGGATTCTTCTCCCAAAAGGTTCGTTCCTCACGGTGACTTAATAATTCAGCGGACAGGGTTAAATGTCGGTGCGCACTGTCACTGAGATTCAAATCTTGGTCTCTTCCTCCAAATACTGTTCACTGAACCGTTGAGCTAAGTCTGTATGGACAGGTCTCATGGATTCATAGATTCTTATTTGTGATATAGGTTGAGTCAAAATGAAAATTTAATACATATAAAATTATAATAGTAACCAGAAATGAAGTGTTTCTTATTTATAAAAGAAAATGTAATACTTTTAAGTAAAAAATATAATACTTTTAAATCAAAATAAATGTAAAAGTATTACATTTTTTCTTATAAATAACAAATAATTTATTTTTAAATAGCATTACGAATTCTTTCACACAAGTTTTTGACTATATTTAAAGGTTTAATTTGAATTTTTAAAAATTTATTTGAAGCAAAAGTATAACTATCAATATAAGAAAAGTAAAAGGAAGATGAGTGGAAAGATCATTGGTCAATGAAACACAGACAAAAATTCAATGCCCCAGCAACCTAGTAGGGCTGCTTATAACTCTCTATAGTTCAATCAAAATGGAAAAGTCATGCGATTCATAAATGAATATATCCAACTTTATACCAAAGACCCAAAGTCATCAATACAAAAAACACAAGGACGTGTATAAAACGCCAGTTTTGGTTTGGAGCATATTTCATTATCTGACAATTCACCATTCCACAATATTAATTAAGAAACTTCCTATGCATTTTCCTAAGTCTCTATCTTCATCTCTTTTCTCTAGCCATTAGTTCAAGACTTGTACAGTTTCCTTAGCCTTTCTCTGAATCTGTTAGCTCCAGCCGTTGATTCTAAACTTCGTTCTTCATTTTCTTTATTCTTCTTTGTATCTAGTTCCTTCTCTCCCACATAAGTTGCTGCCATACCAAACAGAAGTTAAGTTTGGTGAGGTATATTTCCACAAAGATTTTGGTTTTTATGCATATGGGTGTCTCGAAAATTTCTTAGAGATGAAAATTTCCCTCCTTTCATGGATTCCCTTGATATCCTTGCTGCAAATAATATTGGGCATAGATAATACTGTTATATCCGGCCAATGCCCGAATGATCAAAGATCACAGTTGCTGCAGTTGAGGAATAGCCTAAAGTTCAAGTTGGGGGCTCCAAGCAACAAACTTGCAAACTGGAATGAGATCACAGATTGTTGCCACTGGCATGGGGTGAAATGTGACAACTTAAGTCATGTGATCGGTTTGAGTCTCGACAATGAAACAATTGTCAGCATTGACAATTCAAGCAGCCTTTTCAGTCTTCAGTATATTGAGGAGCTGAATTTGGGTTTCAACTTTTTCAACTCTTCTCCGATACCTGTTCAGATGTATAATCTTACAAACTTGAGGTACCTGAATTTATCAAATGCTGGTTTCGGTGGGCAGATTCCAAGTGGAATATCAAGGCTGACAAGGTTGGTTACTCTTGATCTCTCAACTCAGTTTCAAATTGGTCAGCCACTAAAACTTGAGAATCCCAACTTAAAACTCTTCTTTGACAATGCAACTGAGCTTAGTGAAGTTTATCTTGATGGTGTTAATATCTCATCTCAAGGTAGTAAGTGGTGTGAAGCCTTGTCTTCATCTTTGCCTAATTTAAGAGTCTTAAGCTTGAAAAATTGTCATGTTTCTGGACCTATACACCGTTCCCTTTTGAAGCTTCGTTCTCTCTCTGTCATCTATCTGGATGGCAATAATCTGTCCAGTACAATTCCTGAGTTCTTGGCAAAATTTTCGAACTTGACAACCTTGAGTCTCAGTGAATGTAAGCTGCACGGAGATTTTCCAATAGCAATTTTACAGGTACAAACTCTACAGCATTTGGACCTGTCAAATAATCAGGATCTGAGTGGTGGCTTCCCAGAATTCCAACAGAATGGATCCTTAGAGACAGTATCACTAAGTTTCACTAGTTTTTCAGGCTTATTACCAGATTCCATTGGTCATCTTCGCAACTTGTCTAGGATTGAGCTCTCCAACTGCAAGTTCACTGGGTCAATACCTTCTACAATGGCAAACCTTACAGGTTTGGCATATGTGGATTTCTCTAATAACAATTTCACTGGTCCTTTCCCATCTTTCCATATGTCAAAGAAACTAACCTACATAGACCTCTCTCACAATGCTCTAACAGGTCCACTTTCTTTCTCACATTTCAAAGGCCTCTCCCAACTGAAATATGTTAATTTAGGGTCCAATTTATTGAGTGGGCAAATTCCCCCATATATGTTTTCCCTCCCATCACTCCAAAGCCTTTACCTCAATGAAAATCTTTTTGAAGACCAAGTCAATGAATTTGCTAATACATTTGCTTCTCAATTGGATACACTCGACTTGAGCAGTAACCGTCTAAATGGATCCATCCCAAAGTCTGTCTTCAAACTTCCAAAGCTGACTGTGTTATCACTTTCTTCCAACTTCTTTAGTGGGAAGATGCAGTTCAATGATATTGAGAAGCTCTCTGATCTAAGTGTACTAGATCTTTCTTATAACAATGTGACAGTTGACACAACAAATAGTAATGAATCAATGTTCTCCTCTCCCCTCAGAGTATTGAATTTGGCTTCATGTAAGTTGGAAAAGTTTCCAGATCTTAGAAGTCAATCAAAGATGGTAAGATTAGACCTTTCAGACAATCAAATTAAGGGGAGAATACCAAACTGGATTTGGCAAGTCGGCAATGGAGGTCTCACTCTTCTGAATCTTTCTTATAATTTGTTGGAGAATTTGGAAGAACCTTACAGAATTAATACAAGTCTAACAGTAATTGACTTGCACTCAAACAGACTTCAAGGCAATCTACCAATCCCACCAGCATTTTCCATCTATGTTGACTACTCAGACAACAATTTCAGCAGTGTCATTCCGCATGAAATTGGAAATTCTCTTGCTGTTGCTCTCTTCATTTCATTTTCAAACAATACACTCGAGGGGAAAATTCCAAATTCATTTTGCAATTCTAGTTGGCTTCAAGTTCTTGATTTGTCTCAAAATCTCTTGAGTGGGAAGATACCATCCTGCTTGATGAATTCTAGCTCTATTTTCATACTGAATCTCAGGAGAAACAATCTTGATGGCACTATTCCAGATGAATTTCCAGACAGCTCTGCATTAAAAACATTAGACCTGAGCAGAAATATCTTAGTAGGTCGGATGCCAGGGTCCCTAGTGAAATGCAAATCCCTAGAGGTTTTGAATGTTGGAAACAACAAGATTGTAGACAAATTTCCATGTTTTTTGAGGAGCTCATCCACTTTGCGTGTCCTAGTCCTGCACTTCAACCAGTTCTTTGGAGAGCTTCATTGTCCTACTGTCAATCTGAGCTGGCCGAATCTTCAAATCATCGATATTTCTTCCAATAACTTCACTGGTAAGCTTGATAGCGGATACTTCTTAAATTGGACAGGAATGATAGCCAATGAAGATTCATTTCCACCTAATGAAAATCATATTGGATTTGCCTCGCAATTTTATGATTTCCATTATCAGGACGCAGTGACAGTAACCCTGAAAGGGCTGGAAGTGGAGCTTGTGAAAATTCTCACAATCTTCACATACATTGATTTCTCAGGCAACAAGTTTCATGGGGATATACCAGGTTCAATTGGGACTCTTAGTTCACTTCTTCTTCTCAACCTTTCTCACAATGCTCTAACAGGCAAAATCCCTAAACAATTTGGAAATTTGGCACTGCTTGAATCTCTTGACCTGTCAGCTAACCAGTTGAGTGGAGAGATTCCAATGCAGCTGTCAAAACTCACGTTTCTTTCATTCTTGAATCTATCCGTAAATAAGTTTTTTGGCAAGATTCCAACAGGCCCTCAAATTCAAACTTTTTCTGAAGATTCCTTTGAAGATAATCCTGGACTTTGTGGACGCCCATTGAACAGAACTTGCACACCATCGCCAACATCGGTGCCTATTCCTCACAATTCAGTTTCAACTGTCAACTCTGATACTGATTGGCTATTCACATTTATTGGCCTGGGATTCGGACTAGGCGTGGCAGTTGGTATAGCACCTCTCTGGTTCAGTAAACAATGGAGAACATGGTGTGATATGCAGCTCAGGAAACTCATAAAGCAGTTCTTTCCAACTTATGGGTTCACCTATATCAGGTACAATGGTGCAAGAGTTGTGGCAGAGGAAACCATTCAAGAATTCACTGAAGACTCTGACGAAATTGAGGATGAGGAGGAAGATACAGAGTTCCATGGCAGGTACTGTGTCTTTTGCAGCAAACTTGACATCCACAGAAACAAAGGCATTCATAATCCAATGTGCACTCATCATTACTGTCTCCCCATTACCTTTTCTTCCACAACACCCTCTTCTTCCTCTTCTTTGTCAGTCACAAATAGCCATGATTCTTGAGTCTTTGTGTTCCTAGAACTGTACAGGCTTCGAAAATAAACAGAGCACACAACTGGTTACAGTGAAACATGCTTCGTGAAGATTTGTGTGCTTGTATTTATTAAACTTGGGTCAGACATTTCATCGAACATTTGAGGGACGTCATTTGGCAGTTGAGATGTCGGCTCCTTCATTCTGAACATTTTTGTTTGACTGTGCAGTAGAAATATAGGAAGAGATTGCTTGGAGGATTTTGAGAGGAGGGCTGATGATCATTATTTTCATACTTGTTTATTGATTTTTGGTGTTCTGAATAAGAAAAGAATGAATTTTCTGATTTGCTCTATCCCACTTTTATCTCTGGGATCTACACTGTTCACTGATTCCCTTTCCTTTTATGATTTATTTCTCCGATTTCAGGCTTCCCCTCCATCTGTCATTTTCTACTTCTCTCCTCTCTATCAGTCTTCGAAACACCATACGAGAACCCGACGAGATGCCAGAGAAACCAAGGTTCCGATGACACCATTCTTTATTTCTTCTTTCGATTTCTAGTTGAAAGAAATTGAGGAAGAGATGTAGACAAAGGAAAAAATAATACTTTAATTTTATATATATATATATATATATATATATATATATATATATATATATATATATATATATATAAAAGTTTCAGTGCGGGTAAGTGTCTCTCATGCAGTTGTGATTAATGTGCATGAGTTTTGTACTTGTATGTGAGTCTTGTACTTAAGGTGTATGAGGTTTTTGCCTAATGTGTGTGAGTGTGTACTGAGTTTTGTGCTTAATGTTCGTGAGTTTTGTACTTAAGGTGCATGAGTCTTGTGTTTAAGGTGCGTGAGTTTTGTGCTTAATATGCGTAAGTATGTACTTAATCTGAGTTATTGTTGAAACTTTAAGGTGCATGAGTTTTGTGCTTAATGTGCGTGAGTTTTGTGCTTAATGTGCGTGAGTCTTGTGCTTAATGTGCGTGAGTGTTTACTTAATGTGAGTTGTTGTTAAAACATAAGGTGCGTGTGTTTTTGTGCTTAAGGTGCGTGAGTTTTATGCTTAACATGCGTGAGGCTTGTGCTTAACATGTGTGAGGCTTGTGCTTAACGTGTGTGTGGTTGTGTTCTTAAGGTGTTTTGTTTGTGTGCTTAATATGCATGTGTTCTGTACTTTAAGTGTCATATTAATGCTTAACGTGTGTCCATCTGCACAACCGCATGGGAAGCCCCACCCACACCTGAATCCTTCCCTATATATATAGGGAAGGGTTCAGGTGCAGAATGGTTTCTTGTGCGGTTGGACGCACCTTAAGCACACAAATAAAGCACCTTAAGACCACAAATCACTCACCTTAAATACATAAACTGTTGGGTTGAGTTTCCCTCCTATGTGGTAAATAGCTCATGTTTGGACCAAGCCAATTTTTATCCACTATATTTTTTTGAGCCATAATTATTATTATTTATATAATTTATATAATAATAATAATAATATTGGAAGTTGGGGAAGTAGAAGAATCTTGCATGTGAAGAGGTGAAGAAATTAATTTCATTTATTCCTCTTCATAAATTGTCATCTCAAGTGAAGCTATATATAATGGAGCTTATTCATTCTTCTATACACACGCATATATGAGAGAAAAAGACAACTCCACATACACCTTTCATTTAGGCAGTTCGGCAGTAGCAGAAAGGGAGAAACCATCTTCATTTGTTTCTTCATCTTTGACGCAAGTTTGGTGTTGCTTTGCCGTGAGTTTGCCTAAGTTCTTGGGTGCTTTATTCATCAATTTTTGAAGGTCAGCTTATATTTATTCCAGGCATCTTTTGGGTAATCTCGTACTACTTATATTCATTTTATCTTGTTCGTGGTAGTTGAATATTTTGAATACGTACGAGATATTATTCCTATTTAGCCTGTGAATTTTAAAGGATGTATTTGGCCTAGAATTTGTGTATTTGATGATTTGTGGATGTATGGCTCGTGTGGTAGCCTGAACCTGTGTACCCGAGATTTGTTATAGTGGAATTGTTGGTGGTGGTGATCCCGTGGTTTTTCCCCGTGGTTTTGGGGTTTTCCACGTAAATTTCGTGTTCCTTGCTTTATTATTTATTTTTGGATATTGTGTATCATCTTGTGTTTGTGCTCCTATCGGTTCTGTGAAATTTTCATTGTCACAGGAAGTGGGATTTTTCCCAACATAAACCACGCACCTTAAGCACAGAACAAAACACATTAAGCACAAAACTCAAGCACTTAAGATTTTAAAATGGCTCACATTAAGCACAAACTCAAGCACATTAAGCACAACTCACGCACCTTAAGCACAAACCCACGCACTTTAAGTTTTACCAACTACTCACATTAAGCACAAAACCCACGCATCTTAAGCACAAACTCATGCACATTAAGCACAAAACTCATGCACCTTAAGCACAAATCTCATGCACCTTAAGCACAAAACCCACGCACTTTAAGTTTTAACAACTACTCACATTAAACACAAAACTCACGCACATTAAGCACAAAACTCACACGCCTTAAGCACAAATCTCACGCACCTTAAACACAAAACTCACGTACCTTAAATTTGACTTAGATGCAAAAATTGTCAAATTGCCACTGCGTTTTTTTTTTTTTTTTAATTTTGATAATTTTGGACCCTTATTTAAGCAAGATCAATGGCTCAGATTTAACCCCACAATCACACATCGGGCTACCAACCGCACCAGGACCTAATTCTATATGTGTATATATATATATATATATATATATATATATATATATATATATATATATATATATATATATATATATATATATATATATATATATATATATATATATATATATATATATATAATCGCACTCAGGTGCGAATGCTTCGCCCAGGATCGAAATAGGAATGGATTCTGTCTGTCCACGTGTCCAGATCTAATGGATGAGAAACACTAAATTTTTTTTTTAAAAAAAGTGCGGTGACATTTTTGTAAATAATTGAACATCGAAGTGCAAGTAAAATGTATTACAAGTGCATGTAAAACGTATTATAGGTGCAAGTAAAAATTTACACTGAGCATCAATACTAAGTGCACATATAGTTATAAGTAGTTGCACCTATAGTTCTAATGTGACACCCCGTAATCCAAATTCAATTAAGGGATTAATTAAATAATTAATCCTATTTCAATTGGTAATTTAATTCCTTAAATTCCTGAAAATTTAATAGTCGAGGACTAGTAATTGACTAGTCAACTCTAAAGTCAAAGTTGTACCTTGAGCTTTGTAAGGAGTTCCCTTGTTTCCTTACACCTCTTCATGTTAGTAAGGGTATTCTTGACTTTTCACCTTGTGTTAGTATTGTAAGCTAACCTAGTAAGAACACCCTCATTTCTCTCCTTACACTTTCTAAATTCTAGCTCCACCTTCTCTCTAAAAAGGTAGATAGCTTTTCTTCCAAGCCAAGTTGAAACTTTGTCAAAACCTCAAGAGTTGTCTCCAAGATTCTACCTTTCATACATTTGGGCATCTAGGAGGGTAAGATCCATGTTCATCTTGTGTTTTTAGTGTTTTCTTAGGTGTCTTTTCTGAAAGATAGAATCTTTATGATCTTTTGGTGTGTTCTTGAAGTGGGTTTGGAAGGTGAGCTTTGTTAGGAGCTTGGTGAGGTGTTAAGTGAAGGTTTTTGTCTACAAGAGGTAACACATGCTCTACAAAATCTATTTTGCTTACCTATATGAATATTTCTTGGATTCTACATGTGATTTTGCTATGAAATGTGAGTGTTTATGCATTGTCTTGTGAAAATGCATATCTAGAGCTTGTGTTTAGGGTTCTTGTATGTCATTGCTTGGCTATTCCTTTGATTCAAGTCATTTTGTTGTATTTGGTGAGATTTGGCATGTTTTGGACTTGAATTTGAGCTTGGAGTTGAAAATCCCCGAAGGGATTATTTTGGGCACAGGTGTGTACCCGCGGGAACGTGGCTTGTGGGTGTTGGTACCCGTGGGTCCAACCGTGGGGTACAATGTATGGTTGTTGGGGGATTTGTTCCCGTGATTCTTTTGACTTGGTTCTTTGGTCTTTTGACTTCCCGATGTTCTTTTGTGGAACTATTTGAGCGTCTTCTTGATGTTTCGTATGTGTAGAACTATATGGTAGTTATCCATGTAGGTTTTGGTGTCTTGAATCGTGCTAAGTGTTCAACATTGTGTTTCGTTGAACCGTGATGAGTCTTGTGTGTTCTTCAGAACTACGTTTGGTTTACCCGTTTGATAAGCATGCTAGTTCGATGTTTAAATGCTAGCGTGTGCGTTGTTTGTACCTTCTTATTGGTTGATGATAACTTGTGTTATTCATCGTTGTTGTTGTTGGACTGTGATCCATTCCTTGATTGAGTATGGTTTCATATCTTCGTTGTGATCCGTTGATTGATTCCTGTTGTGGTGTGATGTGTGTGTGGCTTTACCTGGATTGCACGATTAGTGGTATGGGACACTAGTCACCAAGGTTTTGCAGTGGTCCTCGTGGTGTCCATGACGTGATTATAGAGTTTGTGGCCTTTGTGTAAGGTTCACGTGTTTATTTCTGGGATAACATGTGTTATCCAGGGCATGTGTTGCCATGTGTGATCGGTACCCTCGTGTACTATGAAATCGGTGGTTTTGTTGGAAGACTGTTGGAGGGGGAACGACGGTTCCTGGGGGAATAAGGTTGGACTTGGTGTACAGGGGTCCTGGAGGTAAAGGTTGGAACTAGATATAAGGTTGGGGGTAGCCATAAGGTTGGGACCGAGCATAAGGAAGGCATATCAACTCGTGATGGGTGATGTCATGAGGGCTTGTGTAGCCGTTGTTGTGAGTTCTCTTCTTGTGACGTGTGTAGTCACAAAGGCATGTGTTGCCATTTGGTGTGTCTTTATTCCTTTGAGTTATGCATGTCGGGTATTAATCTATTGTGTGATGATAGATTATACCTTGAGACTTCTTGTGAGTCGTTGTTGTTCTTTGTAGTCTTGGGATGTGTTCCCGTGTTCTTGTTGAGAGTGTTGAGTCTTGTGTTGACTATTACTCTTGGTTAAAAGAGACTTATTACATAAACGTTGTTGAGCATTGCTTAGCCTAGAATCTTAGAGCACTAAGAATCATTTGTACATTGCTATTTGATCTAAGTCATCTCTTTTATCCTGGTCCATTACTTAATCATTTAGTTGTTTTAAAATTGTCTCTATGCAAACAAATATTCCATTTTGGTTAGCTTTCAAACACTTAATGATCTCATGTTTAATCTCTTGTTACTCAAGTCCTGTCTAGCTATTCCTAGAAGACGATACTCAATAAACTCACACTAAAAACCAACTTTGAGAAAATTTCAATTTTGGTCATACGACTATAGGGGTCTTGTTAATTTCAGCTCTTGACTTTTAAAAGTATCAATTTAGTACCTTGACTATTCAATTTTTATCAATTTTGGTCACTCCGGCCAAATTTCACCGGAAAATGTTAATTGATG